TTAATTTATTAAGAAAAAAAAAATCTTTTTTTCTGCAAACTTAATCCTTAAATTAATTCGCAAATAATTTTATTAAAAGTTTGATTCATGCATCAAATATATATGTATGTACTTTAGATAAAGTTTTTAAAGTCATTCTAAAATCAATTTTTTTTTTTTTTGCTAAGGAAGCTATGTAAATATATAATAATATTTTATAGTATATCTAGATATCGTATAGGGTAATGTGCTTCTGATGTCGCAATTTTTGGCTGCACGTTCAAAAATTTTGTTTTACATGCAGTTCATTTACATGTACATGCGTACATTTTTAAATGCATTGGATTTCAATAATTTACTGCAGGCTTTTAGTTAACAAAGCATATAAGTTTTGATTTATTTTGTTTGAGGTAGCTCTGAAATTAACAAATAATAATTTAAGATTCAAAATAGTAATTCTTTGAGGAAATTGGCTACTTCTGCTAACAGAAAGGGAAGATAAAAAGAAAATTTGCAAACATCGCTTGCACAACAAATTAAACAAACTAACAAACACACCATATGTGTGTAGTGTGTAGTGTACGGCCTCAAAAACAAATAACTTGACTTCCAAGACGGTGGCCGCCTAAAATATTTATGTTCTACTCTGTGCAAACAAACAACAGCAAAAACGAAAATCGAAAAACTATATAAAAAAGTTGTTAAATAGAGAAAGAAGAAATAACAGAAACTGAACCGTTTGCTTGCAGTGAGAGAGCAGAGCAAATGATTTTTGATCAAATTCACATACGAATAAGAGTAAAATGACAAGTGCAAAAAACTGCCGCGCAAAATTTATTTGCATAAAATATTTTTTGTTATATATTTGTTAAGGGGCAAACATATATTATAAGCTTATATATATTTAGTTTATTATAATTGTTTAAAAAAAATTTGTAATATAAATTACAATTTTTTTATAAATTAATTTATTAGCGAATATATTGTTTTTCGCCCTTTCTCTATTCCTTCTCTCGTAGTCAGACAACTCTCGCATACACACATCCATTTTCGTTTGGCGCTTCTTGAAATGAAGCAAAGTAAATTTCCAAAGCGAGAATTGAGATTAATATGTCCTCAAGTTTTCCTTTGATTGCAATGCATTCTTCTGTGAAGATTCGGCTAACTTGTTTGCTTTCCTCTAAAAAGTATAATAAAATATTTGAATACGTTTTAAATCTGTAAAATTAAATTTAAGCTAAAATTATTTATTTAGTACCACGAGTTCTACGGCTGGCAAATAATTTCTTCATCACAAACGATACAGAAATAGTTTTAATAAGACACTACTGAAGAGAATACTATTTTCGTACTAAACAAATTTATGTATTCAATCTAACATCAAGTAAAAAATTTACACTTAAATTTAATTGAAATTAAGATCGTATGACAGTTATTTGATAAAATGTTTTTATAATTGGTGAATATACCCCCGCCTACGAAAAAAATAAAAATAAACTAATTTAATTAAATTAATTTACCTTCAGCTCTAGCGCGTTTTTCAAATTCGTCAAATAAACGATTTACTTCATCCATTTCACGGCGTAAACGTCTTAATTGTGGATCATTTGGATCACCCTCACTTAAAAGTTTATCTGCGTCATCATTGAGTGCATGCCGTATCGCTGTACCCTGTTCTGGACCCATTGCAAGAAATTGGTCAAAGTCCCATCCTTTGACAACACGAATTGTAGCAAAAATCATATTTTGACGTAGACGTAAATGTTTTTTTTGCCATAAGCTCACAAAACGATCGAATAACCGTTTAAGTCGTTCAGCAGCATCAATTGCCTCTTGGTCAGGAGGAGGCATTAATAAGCAAGCACTAGGAATTGAACCCTCTTGTCCTATTGAATTACGAATTCTCCATTTAACTCGACTAGAGTTATCGAGCAAGATACAAGTTTCTCCCTTTTCAATTTGTAGTTGACCTTGCTGCTTATAAGCACATATTGCTTGTACAGAGCATTGATTATTTACCGGTTGTCGTTTGTAGATTCTTATCCAAATGCACCTTTATAATTTGGGTGCCATCCAATTTGGCACAAATACGTTTGCCTACGATCTCTGCTGGAAACACTAAATCTTCTCATAATAAGAATTGTTTGTAAAATATTGAAAAATATAAGTAATGATTTTTCGTTGGAGTATTAGAATAAATATAAGTAAAATATACATCCAACCATAAAGTGGATAAAAAAAAAACAAGTTATTTCCTATATTTGATGAAATAAATTAAAAATAAAACTACTGCAATAAAAATGAGAAAACGAGTTTCTATTTTAAAGTTTGCAGAAAATGATGGAAAAATCACACTTTTAATCATCATTACAAGTAATTTATACTTCTAGATCAGTAGAAATAAATAGAAATATCAAGTGAATTATTTTATTAGTTTAGGTTTTAATTAGACGGTATTTTAATTAAAAATAAAAATAAAATCGCTTATTGTGTATAAATTCTATAATCCCGAAAATGGTACTTACCAAGCCATCGCTGCCATTTACTTCGATAGCTGTTTTAAGCCTCTGCGATAATTGTTCTAATAATCTATCGTATTTTATATTTAGTGCATCGAGTCTATGGCTATAATACTGTGTTGCTCCTGGGTCACTGTCTGGTGGACGTAAGTCTCGTCGTGGTGGTGAGAAAGATGGACGTGCCTCTATAAGCCAATCCACAAAGCGTAGACATTTGGCGTCGTAAATCTTGATAATTGTTCAATTCTTCGCCAGAAAATTTCATTTGGTGCCGCTCGTCATTTACAATTTTAGAGTGAAATTTATCGATAATTTTGTGTTCATGTTGTTGACTATCCAATTCTTCTTTAACAGATGATAAATCTGATCCATAGTCGGCTGCAAGTATTTGTTTCTAAACGAGAAAATATGTCAAATTCATATATAAAAAAAAGTTTTATTATACTGATTATAAGTAAGTGAGTAAACTTTTATGACAAAGAAACAGAATCGGTCAGACCAATGTTTTATTATTCTTCCCTTATTATTGCTATTTTATTTTTATATAAATATTTGGAATATTAGATATTATAAGAATATGTAATTGTATAAGAAAAATAATTTTAAATGCATTAGTGGAACTTAATTTTCCAATAAAAAAAAAAATAAAATAAAATCAATTAAATATTTCCTACTTCACTATATTTCATTTAAGAAGTTTTAAAACTCCATTGCACAAATTAAAAAATTTTTCATTTTTATTAAGGAGTGAAAAAATGCAATATAAAATAAAATAAAGTAACATTAAAAATAATGACAGTCTATCATGTGTTTTCATTGTTGCACAAAATGGGAGCACAAAACAGAAAAAAAAGCAACTGACAAGAAGACCAATGACAAAAAAGAACATTATTGTATGTACCAAAAGCAAAACACGAGAAAAAGAGACGTCACTTTCTTCCAGTGCTCGTTAGAATGGAATAGTCATTCGAATACAGAAACACCAAAAACATATGAAACGAATTGATAAAGGAAGCGCGCAAGCAGAACAGGCATAAGCAGCAACCGCATGGAAATATGAGCGACACACAACACACCTTTCTGTACCTTGTTTTTGTGTACAATTTGTTTTGTGCACAATCAACGTAAAATCTGCATAACAAAGAAAGACAGTAAAATATTTCCACATTCTTGAGTTTTGTCTTCAACTCCGTACTCTTTTTAATTTACTCTTTTGCGTACAAGCAGTGCGAGAATAGACAAGAAATTTGTGTGTTCTGCTATATATAATAAAATCACAAAATTTTAATTTTATTTTGGAATATAAAAACAATAATTATTGTTAAATAAACTCAAATTTATTTATGTTTTAACTATTTATTTTTAAATATTCACACACAATTTTCAATTTTCGCTGAAAATTTTTCCGTACACTACAGATCGCGACCGTATTGTTCAAACGCTGTAAACGTAATAAAACTGAAACACTGAGAAGTCGTGTATATAAATCAGTTTGTGTGGATTGTATTAGCAAACTTGTATGCAATACAATCCACAATGCTCTTCTCACCAATTGTTTAGTATAGTAACTGTATGATTTATATGCGTTCCTTCTCTTTTGAATAACAAACAAAATGTTATGCAGAAGTTTTACAGTTTATAAAACTGCACAATGAATGTGGATTGTGGAAATGCACTTTAATTGATATATTTTTCGGCTTATTAGTTTTTTTAAATATTTAAATTTTATATAACATGTATAAATATAAATTATTTAAATAATTTTTTTTAAATTTTTTTACAATTTTATGAATTAAATCATTTTTAATTGCAGTTTATTAATATACGTAAATAGTAAAACCCGCAAAGCAGGAAAATGAATTTTTACTTAATAAAATTCAATTAACTCAAAAATATATTATATATTAATTATATCAGCAAAACTAATGTAATAATTTAATAAAATTAAAAATTATAGCAATTTACATAGAAAATAACTTTCATATATAGAAAATAATTATTTTAAAGACATTTTTGACACTGATTTAAATGAATTTCTAGAGTATTCCGATGAATTTCGTCGAAATAAAAATTAAATGAACTCATAAAAGAATTTTTTAGCCGGTAAATTTGTGTAATTATTTACTATTATTAATTTATTAAGAAAAAAAAACCTTTTTTTCTGCAAACTTAATCCTTAAATTAATTCGCAAATAATTTTATTATAAAAAAAGAATTCAATGAACCACTAAAAAGGTTTGATTCATGCATCAAATATATATGTATGTACTTTAGATAAAGTTTTTAAAGTCATTCTAAAATCAATTTTTTTTTTTTTTTGCTAAGGAAGCTATGTAAATATTTAATAATATTTTATAGTATATCTAGATATCGTATAGGCTAATGTGCTTCTGATGTCGCAATTTTTGGCTGCACGTTCAAAAATTTTGTTTTACATGCGCAGTTCATTTACATGTACATGCGTACATTTTTAAATGCATTGGATTTCAATAATTTACTGCAGGCTTTTAGTTAACAAAGCATATAAGTTTTGATTTATTTTGTTTGAGGTAGCTCTGAAATTAACAAATAATAATTTAAGATTCAAAATAGTAATTCTTTGAGGAAATTGGCTACTTCTGCTAACAGAAAGGGAAGATAAAAAGAAAATTTGCAAACATCGCTTGCACAACAAATTAAACAAACTAACAAACACACCATATGTGTGTAGTGTGTAGTGCACGGCCTCAAAAACAAATAACTTGACTTCCAAGACGGTGGCCGCCTAAAATATTTATGTTCTACTCTGTGCAAACAAACAACAGCAAAAACGAAAATCGAAAAACTGTATAAAAAAGTTGTTAAATAGAGAAAGAAGAAATAACAGAAACTGAACCGTTTGCTTGCAGTGAGAGAGCAGAGCAAATGATTTTTGATCAAATTCACATACGAATAAGAGTAAAATGACAAGTGCAAAAAACTGCCGCGCAAAATTTATTTGCATAAAATATTTTTTGTTATATATTTGTTAAGGGGCAAACATATATTATAAGCTTATATATATTTAGTTTATTATAATTGTTTAAAAAAAATTTGTAATATAAATTACAATTTTTTTATAAATTAATTTATTAGCGAATATATTGTTTTTCGCTCTTTCTCTATTCCTTCTCTCGTAGTCAGACAACTCTCGCATACACACATCCATTTTCGTTTGGCGCTTCTTGAAATGAAGCAAAGTAAATTTCCAAAGCGAGAATTGAGATTAATATGTCCTCAAGTTTTCCTTTGATTGCAATGCATTCTTCTGTGAAGATTCGGCTAACTTGTTTGCTTTCCTCTAAAAAGTATAATAAAATATTTGAATACGTTTTAAATCTGTAAAATTAAATTTAAGCTAAAATTATTTATTTAGTACCACGAGTTCTACGGCTGGCAAATAATTTCTTCATCACAAACGATACAGAAATAGTTTTAATAAGACACTACTGAAGAGAATACTATTTTCGTACTAAACAAATTTATGTATTCAATCTAACATCAAGTAAAAAATTTACACTTAAATTTAATTGAAATTAAGTTCGTATGACAGTTATTTGATAAAATGTTTTTATAATTGGTGAATATACCGCCTACGAAAAAAATAAAAATAAACTAATTTAATTAAATTAATTTACCTTCAGCTCTAGCGCGTTTTTCAAATTCGTCAAATAAACGATTTACTTCATCCATTTCACGGCGTAAACGTCTTAATTGTGGATCATTTGGATCACCCTCACTTAAAAGTTTATCTGCGTCATCA